AGGAGAAATCACAGTGGCTTTTTATTGGCACATGAATATTAAGCAAGTACTATTATAAAAATAAACAGGTAGAGCAGTGAGATGGTTGAGGGATTTGATAGTAGAAATATACATTTTGATGTCTAGATCACGAGCTCAAATCCCATTCATATCAGTAATGGCTAAAAGAAGTGAAAATCATAAGACCTGAATCTTATACTCAGGGTTTCTGTATGATTTCATGCAAATTATCCACCTTTTTCTGTCCTGATGTCTCCTTTCTGCAGAACTAAAAGCATGCTACTTAGAAGTTTGTAAAACACTTAAGATAAGCAAAGATTAGATGCATGGATATAGGCATGAGCCATCATTTTCTAAAGTCAATGTAAAGCTTCTAACGGTTTTAACGTATTCTGATTTAAGCCCTGGAGGAACAGCTATAATGTGTATGGTAACCACATTAGACAAAAATTATGTAGGCCAGCATCTTTCAAATAGCTATGTATGTGCCGAAGTCAGATTTGGGGAGTTACACTTGTGTACACAGAAATTCACAGGACTGGGATCAGATGGGCACCATACAATAGGCAAGCCCTGAAGCTATGCAAACAATAGCTTAGTGGAAAGTCTGTGTGAAAGTCCTTGGTCGCACTATGCTGTTATTGCCCAATAAAAACATTTTTCACAGAAGTTAATGGGAAATTACTAATTTTCCATAAATAAAGATTTCTTTCTGCTGGAGAAACTCAAGTAAGAACACTGATCTCTGTTGCCTTGACAACATTATCCTGAAATATTCAAGTATTAAAGTATCCAGTATGCTCAAGAAAGTTGCACTATCTATTTCACGTTGGATATTCAACACAATTACTGAGTTGGCATACACTCATCTATCATCTGCAACCATTTGTCACAGAAAGTTATGTGCCAAATAATATATGAGAAATATCTGAGCTGACACACATGGTAATTTTCTTGCATATTTATATGGCTACTGAAAGTTTTTAGATCTATGGCTTAGAAAAAAGAGCGTTCCTTCATGGTATGTGGATTTTTGCAAAATAAGTGCTGTTTTTCTAGCAATGCATTTCTAAACTGAGCAGAGGGATGACCTCTATAGAATGGCTGGAGGGAGCCCATCCTCTCAAGGCTTGAATCTCAAGGTTTGAGCTTAGACCTCGGCCTTTCTGGCAGGCCTTTCTGAGGGTGCAAGGTTCTGAGATGGAGACTCTTAGGTTCACATCAGCAGTGACTGTTTCTCTTTCTGGCTGCTCATTGTAGAAGGCTGAAAGCCTGATTTTTCAGAGGTGCTAAGACATAGAGGGACAAAAATGAGCAGGAGCTGCAAGTGTGCAATGTTTCAAAATATCTCAATTTCTCTTTAAATAAAAATATTAATCTCTTACTGGAAAAACCAATTAACCCCTCTGTGAAACCTCTGTGAACCCAAAGCTAAGTTTCATGCTTTCATTTCCCTTCAGTTTTTCTATAGACTGTTCCACATGTAATAAGAATAAGCAGAAAATAAAGCTGTGCTACAATGGCATGCTGCTAATGACTTCTGATGCATTAGAGGGAAGTGTTTGTATACCATATACTGCATACTATCCTCCAATCTCCTCTAATAATTTCTCCGGATGAAAATGATGAAATTAGTGTACTCTGTTCGTGATATAACAAATTATTTTTTCGACAAGCAAAATGAAAAGTACCGATCAGTGAATTTATTGCCTCAATTTCTATTAACAAAGGCAAAATACAAAGTGTTTTGTTTTTTCTTCCCAGTGGACATTAAGCAGGTATAACTTGGGCTGATCAGTGATGCCATGACCTCTACCTAGACAGTTCCTATAACTGTGCTACTTCACACCAAGAATGTGGTTTCCTTCCCAGGAGAGGCAGCAGAACAAGAAACAACCCACATGATATAAATCACAAAAATACCTGACTTTGGCAAAGAAACAATGCCAAAGAAAACAAAGAGGGAAGACAGAAATCCTCCTGTGAGAATCAAAAGCTTTATCTAAATTAAAGCTTCAGGTGCACTAAAAGGTTGTGGGTGATTCCTATACAGGATAAGGAGATTGTTAATTGATCTGTGGCATCCTGTTCTGTGAATTATTCTGCATGGCCTGCATGGCATTATTCATGTGGCTGCTTCCTATCTCTCATCTCCCTTGTTACCAGAGAACGTCATGCTCTGACCTCATCCTTTAGACCACCTTTTCTGACCAAAGGTGGCACATGCGCCGACACATGATTTTCTCATCCTAAGTTTTGGCTTATTAGTTCCTTTAGTCTTATTTAGAGGCATTAGTACTGCCCATTTTAAAATGTGTATCTCTGGCAGTGTAAAAGGTTTCTAGGACAAGCCAAGACAGTAGTCCATGGTTCTGATAAATTGCTCTGATTATAGATTGTCACTTGCTCACCTGTATATTCTGCTCTTTTCAAGCACCACTTAATGACAGAAAGTGCTTGAATGTCTCTCCTGTCAGTGTCTGCATTCCCAGATGAAACCTGGAGAACTATTAATGGACTATCCAGACTGCTAATATACACTGTAACACAGTTAAGCCAACATCTGTATGGCCTCCCTGACTACACAGTACTATTTTTTTGGTGAAAGTTTCTAAGGACTTGTCCAACCTACACCTTTCAGATAGCAGTCAGCATTCAAATGCCATTTAAACAGAACAGAAAAGAGTTGCACTATATGAGTAATTCAAATTCTATAGGCTTCAGTTTGGTCTTCATTACATATTGAGAACTACTGCTGCCCTCTACTGTATTGGTATGAGTTGTGCCTCAGACAATCAGTCACAAATATTCCTGCAAAATTTCTAGTCTTATCCAGAACTTAGCTTAATAATTTAGCTTAATATTTCCATGTATTGAAATGATAATTCACAAGGTCTGTTTTAAATCCATCAGCATATTCTGATTCCACAGGGGCTTGCTCAACTGGAAGAATCTTTCTCTCTTATCTGATTTTGACTCTTAGAAGACGGGGATCCTTGCAAGAGGCTGGACATGTTTCATTGCTTCACCAAAATGTTGTCTGTCCTTCTGGTAATAAACAGCCATCAGGATATTAAGAACTATGGAGTAAGAATGCAACCCTGGAGCCAAAATGACTGCATCAAGGTTCTGCCTGGGACACAACTTCTCTGATAGCCTGAACTTAGGTTATGATGAACAGCTAAGTCCTAGCTCAGTTGAACTAAACTTTCCTTATTCTCATCTTACTCAGTTCTGAAAGGATACAGCTCATGATCCTCTCAAAAAGCTAGGTTTCTTTCTCACCGTTGCTAGGACAAGTAATACGAATGCAGCCTTGCTGCACACATCTACTACACAACAGGCTCCAAATAGGAATAGCTTATTTCTTCCCAGCTCTCCATGGACTCCAATAACTTCTTATGATTTTCCTCTCCATGCCTCTGGATAGGTTGCATTGCTTGTAGGTTAGAGCACCTATCACATGCATCTAAAATAATTTAATGTTTCCCAATCTCAGAAACCAAATTACTTCTCTCCTGCAGTGCTTCCTACACTGGAATACAACTACAGTGTCACCAATACATAGTACTAACTGAAAAACTCATCAGTAGATGGGAATAGATAAGCAGATGGTAAGCAGACCACTAGATTAAAGCCAGAGACACAGCCTTCCTACTCAAGGGAAAACTCAGACTGTTCTCACTAATTATCTATGTGGGTCTCCAAAGGAATTAGACACACATTGCAAAGGAGGCAGACTAAGAGCCTGGCTAATTAAAGATTTGTACTTCCTTCCAGTAGATGCCGTGACAAATGTACGGGGTGTCCACATGTGTTCCCAGTCCCTCATTTGGTAGCTACCCTCCTGGTTAACATTCTGAATACTGAACCAGAGAAACCTCCAGAACTACCACCACAAGCTGTTACCACTTTACGTCAAACCCGAATCTTCTCATGTGAGGGCTGCCACAGTCCTATCTGTACTAAATGAGACACAGAGAAGAGAACCTGTAATAGACATTCACTAGCAAATTCCAGTTGCTTTTATTTCTGTAATACTTTCAGGTTTATTTTCTGTTATTCACTGTAAAACACCCAGTACCTCCAGCTTCTTCTTCACAAAATAAACCTGTAACTGAAGTTAGCTTCATAGTTCCCCATTTCTTCCACAAACTTTATTATGCAAAAGCTTTTTCCTCCAGGAAAAGTAGAGTATTAAAAGAAATCACTAAAGCTGGAATCAAGCCACACAATCCAGATCCAGACTTGAGCTCCAAGCTCAGGTTCTTTCCATTGACCAGAGTTTCCTACCAGGAAAGGAAATGACAGTTTTCCTCCTCATATCTCAATGACAGTGTGACAAGGAAGGTCCTCTGCATTTTTTTGCCTTAACACTTCACTGACGACACAAAGAAACCTGTTCGTAGTTCAAGGATTAAAGCACAAAAGGGACTCGTCACAGCCAAGGGAGATGGAGAGCAGCATTGACAACGAAAGATACACATCTCTCAAAAGATTTGGCCAGTTTCAGTGAGAATACTGAGGACTCAAACTAAGAGTCAACAAAAGAGATGGTTCAGATGTTTTCTGCCTTCTTGTTTCTGAACATATAATTTACTTCTCAAGCACATTTCTCCCTCTCACCTTACCAGCATAATTCTGGTCATCTGGCCTCATTTGAGAAATCTCACGTTGTAACTTTTGGCAAACTTACGGTTGTCAAAGATGATTCCAATATTCAAATTACACCTATAAATATATTAAATCTGACAAAAAATATGGAGTGCAATAGACTTTGCACATTACCATTAAAAGAGAAACATAGAAACCACAGATCCATAGAAACTAGTGCAATCAGTTCCTTATCTCATACTATTCTTGATGACTGCAGGGCTAAAACACTGAAATACTGCTGAAAATTAGCAAATTTGCGCTAAAATCAGCAGAAAAAAAACCCACAAAACTTTCCTATGAGAATTTTGGCCCAATTCTTACACTCTAGTTTACAAGGCACCTACCTCTAGGACTTTCCCAGTAATGAACTGGTGACATGCTTCACATTTGACTCCAAAAAGAACTTGGTAGTCCTTTTCACAATAAGGAGCACCATCTCTGAAAAAGAAAACCCACAAATTACAAACCAACTTCTAATAAACAGGTTACAGCATGACTTACACTCTTGTCTTGTCTTCAGTTTGGAACTCCCACACACAGCAAAAGGCAAACATAAGGGAACTCAAGGGTAATATTTTGCAGTAGAAGAAAAAATAAATTGTATTCTCATTAGTACCTCTTGGAATTATTCCTTAATTTCCCATCAAGAAAAGGCATCCAGCACAAACCAGTGAAGTAAATCTCATTCTTTAGAACGGACTCTCTGCACCTACGCTGATGCAGTTCTAGGGAATCAGTGAACCTACATCCATGGGGATGAGAGGAGATCACAGTCTTTATCATAGACAGGTAGCTTTTGTTCAGTTCAGCAAAAAAGTCCTCCACAAGAGCACAAGCAGTTACTTCTAAGTATAGTTATGAACAAGGAACATACAGTAAAAATGGAAACACCAGTCTGCTTAGGAACATTTTTCAGACACTGAACTTCTTTTGAGAAAATGCAGATGCTACTTTTTATCAAATATCATACATCCCTTAATGACAGCTTTATGAAACATACATTGTGTCCCTATTTTGTCTCTTTGCTATATACGTGAAGAGGGGAACAGACACTGTATCTCCATTCCCTCTATTTTATCATTACACTACTTTTCCCTGTTCTCTTCGTCTACACTTCCTTCCACTCTAAACTCTGTTCATCAGTTTCTTATATGGAGATGAGAAACACAGTGTCAGGTCAATCACTTCATCATGTTTACTCTGTTCTCTAACAAAAGCAAGCAATGGACAGGTTCCTACTTTTTTCCCTCAAAAATCACGTTGGAAAGCAAAATGGCACAAAGCTTTACCTGCCTAACACAGAAAGCAGAAGCAGGAATTCACCTAATCCTTTGTGGGAACATGGAGATGTAACCCTTCCATACTGGTATTTATAAATGCAGATTATCATCATTAAACACCAGGTTTCAGTCGCACTTTTCAGTTTCCTTTCCCAACTCAGCTCTCACTAGGAACAAAGATTTTGGTGTATATGGAAATGTGGTCAAAACCAGATTTCAAAAGGTGAACTTTGCTGCAAGCTCTTCTTCACTGGCAACAAGAACTCATGACAAGAGTGCAGAAGAGATGCAGAGGTTACTTACTTGCTGATGTATTCCCCAGTTAGGACCTTCCCACAGGCCTTGCACTTAAAGCATCCCAGGTGCCACTGCTTGTCCAGAGCTAGCAATGCTTGTCCATTTTTTATGTCTCTTCCACAGCCAGCACAATCTGCAAATAAATAAATACATGTGTTTTCAATTGCTTGGTTCATAAATCCTCATTAACCACTCAGCAATTGCCACACTGGGTAGCCAAATGAGAGAATGACACAGCAATGCAAAGATGCATCTTTCTTTCCTCAGACACTTCTGGGGTCCTGCATGAAGAGTCAATCTTTGTCATTATAGACACACTCAGCAGAAGACAGAAAGTACATCTTCTGGTTTTCATGCTGTTTATGATTCAAAAACTGCCAGGCAAGCTCTGTACAAACATAGGATTTTTCTAGGAATGAGCTATGTAAATTGTCACTCAGAAAAGTTCCTATCTTCTAAAGCAATCAGTGTTTGGTTTTTTTCCCATTTTGCTTTTAGCGAGATCTTGCCTGCTTACAGAAAGCTAAATAAGCAGGGTGAGCATCATCAGGATGCTGCGCTTCCCCGCTGGGTGGCAGCAAAGCCCAACGTGTCCACCGAGCTCAGGGGCAGTGGCGCTCTCAGCAGTGAAACCTTTTTTCAGGGAGGGTCCAAGGCAAAGGTGACAGCAGTAAGACAGCAGTGAATGCTGCACAGCAGCACATAATGTCCTCCACCTGTGGGTGCGAGAAATTGTAGTTCTCATAGTCTCTAATGGGCATAAGGACTCTCACTTGGAGATTTTGGTACTACCTTGGTAGTCGACACTGACTTTTCACTGCGATTCTGAAAGACTCTTTGATGGCAGAATGTGAACCTGAAGCCAGGAGCACTGAGTGTGCTCTGTGCCAGAGGATGCCACCGCTTCTTATGTCACATCAGGAACCTTTGGCTCAGCCCCAAGCTCCCGTTCGTCTCCATTCAAACATAAAAAACGCAAAGAGATTTCCTGGTAAGGGGAAATTCAGCACATGGCAAGATCTGAAGAGACTGATGTGGCAGACAGTGCTGAACTGCAAGGGTTGTACTACAGCTTCGGTGTGCAGCCTCAGGGGACGGGGGGACTGAGGGGAGGGAAGGCCTGGAAGACCAACGGAGCAGAAAGGAAGGGAATGCCCATCAGCTGAGGCACACAAGGAAACCATAGAGGAACCAGTCTGGAAAAAGGGATTCTCCGTATTTTATTATCCCCAAACTCTGTGTTCCTTTGGTGAATGTAACATCCTCTCCACACACCTGAAACATCAACAAATAGCAACAAATTGAGACCAGCAGGAACAGAGCAATCTGAGCAGTTAAAGCTCAGGCACCAGGGAAAAGATCTCCATGGCTGCACTGCTCAAGCAGTACCTGAACAGGTACAGCCTCAACACCTTCGCCTCCTCACAGATACAGCCTAAGCAACACCATACCTTGTGAATAGACAAGTCCAGGTTGATTATCACAACTGATAATGAGAGGAGAGACACTCCTTTTGACACCAACTGGCCTGACGTTTTCTCTTGGATAACAGGCCCAAATATATGC